CAATTCTATTTACAAAGTCCACAATAGATTTGTTTTGCTATGAATTTCATTGTCTTAGTTATTATCAGTTTAGAGATCCTGCTTAACCATCTTTAAAGTCCATTTATTTTGTGAGCAGTTCTATTTTCTGCATTTTTTGGTTGACTTTATTTTTGTGTCACTGCTTAATTATGATATGTTGCTTCAGCAAATCTCTCACATCGCCAGATTAAATCATAATTATACCCACTGGTTTAAAAAATTGAACCTATTAAAGTTAGGTTAAAATATCACTTCTTGATTTTCTGTCTTAGTTATGGGAAGACAGAGACTTTTTCAAAGATGAGGTTAGTAAAATAGTAGATACATGCATGTTTTGATTGATCTCAATACCCAACTTAACTCTTTGACCCATAAAACTGACTAGCGACATATTTCTAGGAAATCATTTTATCTATGGAAATGATCACCAAGTAAAGAGTCTCTGGACTATTAAAAAATAATTCTCTTAGTCAGGACCTTAGGAAATGTACAAGGAGAGCAGTATGGAAAATATACATACTGATGTTAGGAAATAAAGTGTTTTGGAAGTATTAAATTTTTCATACAAGAGTACCATACTCTTAGTTACAATTTGAGTTTTTTAGATTGATAATAGAATATCCTGTGATGTGCTTGATAAATAGTTGAAGCTGTCAGTCCCAACTGTACCATGAAGACAATTAATCCTTTAACCCTGGGAAGTGATTAAAATGTAACTTCTCCTTATGCTATCCATACATTATCTAGTAAACAGGTAATGAGAATACTCAAATTGATCTATCACCAAATTCTGGTGACTAATTTACAAGGAAATGTGCAACAGGTTAGAGGGGAAAATGACCAATGAACAATCAGATCTTGGGAGCTAAGAGTTATTTACTGACTTGTGCATTGTTTACACAGCATTCTGCTGAACTCTTCCTTGGTGCAATGGATACAACATTCCTGCTGGCATATGCTGTGGTAAGGAACTGGCATTAATTTGTTTTCAAAGGGAAGCTTGATTTGAGTATTCGTGATTACAGTCAATGAATTTAACCCTTTAACCCCAAAAAGTGGTTAGCATCTTATTTCACCTTACATTATCCTTCGTGAATAAAACATTAAGGTCACTTAAGAGTAAAGGAAATGATCACCAACTGAAGAAACTCTTCTATGTGAAACAAACTTCCTCGTCAGAATCTTAGGATATGTTTAGAGAACAGTATGAAGATTAAGCATATGGATGTTAGGGTGTAAAGGCCTAGGGATAAAAGAGTCCAGATGTATGCTCTGTGTAGGGTATAGAGGTGTTTATTAGAAAATTTATTATAATATACCTAAAAAGGTTGTGTAAAAGTGAGAAAGTAATCTCATGGTATGTTATACAAACTTCATGTATTTAACAAAGGCTTTTCAAAACTCATGGATTTTGTTTATTGAGATATTGTATTTAGTCTGTTAAGTGCAATTTTGTAGCATCTCTTTTTTAATTTTGTCACTGTCTTAGGATTTAGTGTCGTAAAAAATTATCTATGGTTTGGATTCTAATCTTTCATCAACTTTTTCAATTGTAATTATTATATCTCTCAGATAAAATGTGGGCTATGATTGGTCAATTTAGGGGACTGTATTTCACAGTACAACCCACTAAATTAAAAAGTTTTTTTGAATTGAAATCTTTCCCCTTCCATTTGAGCCCAAAGTTATTATAAATATCTTACTAACCTCATTTTCTCAGTCTGCACTGTAAGTAACAGAACCTTGTTTTTGTTCTGTTCTGATTTATGGCCTGTAGGCTTCTCACTTTGGCCATAAATCTGAGTGGAAACAACTTGGTTTGTAACTTACAGTACAGACCTCGAACTAAGTTAGTGAGAAATATTCATTACATCTCCCTTTGCCAGGTTTCCTAACTTAATTTTCCTTCTTCTTGTGTTTTGTAGGGTTTATACATCAGTGGTATTTTGGGCGACAGGTTTGTCACATTTCTGTTAATCATCAATTTAGACAGTCCATGGTGTAAAAGCATAAAATGTTTGAGGACAATCAGAATTTAAAATGTTGCAATCCACATCCTAAGTGATCATGTCATGATACAAACAATTATATTTCTCTTTTAAAGGCACATTGTCAGGTAGATTTATCAACCGTCTTTGTAAGGAAATTGGTAAAACCATCAGTGTCAGATTACTGATGTGTTTGCACCAGAGGCAACTTGTCAGGCATTCTAATTGTATTCATTTCCACACATGGGTAATTACAGTTTTAAAGCTTATTGAAACATTGCAGTTGTTTTCAACGAAGGAACATTGCCAGAGATATTCATCAACTGTCGTTATAAGGGAATATCAATAAAAAGCTTGTCAGGCATGACACTGTAGATTTAGTAGAAACCTTGGAATTATGTTTTTTTTTTAAATGAACAGGTTCAACCTGAGAAAAGTATTGGCATTGGGAATGTGTTCATCTGCAATTATGGTTGGTAACTTGTTGAAACAAGAGTACATTATTAATTTGAATATGTGCATTTAGTAACCCACGGTGAACAAATTTCCTTGATGTGATGCAGTTCCTCTAGATCTTGGTCAAAGGACTTGCACAATTCTT